CTACTACTACTGCTACTACTGCTGGTGGTGGTTGTTCATGCAATAGCACTCGTACTCTTGCTAGTAGCTTCAGGTCACATGACATCTGTCGCTGCATGCAGCGATAACTACGAGTACTGCGACGCCACGAGGATGATGACGACGACTACATTCGAAGCCGAGCCACTGCTACCTGTTTCACGTTTAGAGCCCCTCTAAGGACTTTAGGAGGGACCNNGGGACCCCTAATAGGGACCCTTACTCCCATTACCTTAAATAACCATTGTATAGTCCTTATATACCCCTTATATAGCCAGGTAGTCTCCATATTAACCCCAATAACCTACAAGGGTCCCTATTAAGGGTCCCTCCCAAAGCCCTTAGAGCCCCGGCGGATCTGGAGGGGCCGTGTTTATTCAAGATTGGTTGCCCAGCTCAGGCTCTGCACGTCTGTCGCAGCAGATCCTATCCGGGTGGGTTTAAGGTAGAAGGAACCTTCAACTAACATACGATAGGGTGGAGGCTGGTGCAGGATTTCGGATAACAATAACGACCAAGCTTCCGTCCACATCTCGTCAGGAATCACGTCCGTCATGCGGAGAGCTCCAACGACAATGCTTGTGACCAAGGATGCGACTGCTGCCTCAAATGGGCCGTCCGTGGTTTCACACTTCTGGGGTTTCGGGGTCGTTTTCTAAGGTCGACGTGAGCCTTGCTAGACTCACGGCTTATGATTCAGGGCTTAGGGGAGAAGCATCGCTACTGCTCTGCTACTAGTTACTAGTCCGTCTGCAAAACTAGTTCTTACGTTAGACGGTATTCTAGTTATAGCGAGGAACGCTCAAGAATACCATTGGGGATAGTAGTATCTGTGACTCCCCGGCGCAATATCCAAAACTCTGAACCCGATGTGACTTATCCATGCTGAATCTTAAAACCCCCTTGTGAAATCGTAGCTCGTAGACCCTATTTTCCTAAAACCGCCAACTCTGCGAGATTGATTGGAAGCTGGTCCGCTAGGTGGCTGCGAAATTGTACAGACATAGACCTGGGTCGCAGTGTACAAGACCCAGGCTGTGGGGCGACTACGAGACAAAGCGCCGAATAGATATCGGCTTCGCATTATGTGCAAAGTCAAGGAACAGCACGGGAGTTGAAGATAATCATCATCGAAAGCAGCTTCAGCCACCTGCTACGGAGGATAGGGGCGAATTCTCAATGGGCTGAAAACAAACGGGGACTCCAGCAGCAGCCTAGAACGCAAAATGATCCCACTCTCTTGAAGACTCAAGTCGTTGAATCAGCCCGATGCCCTCAGCTGGCTTTGTTTAATCTGTGCATAATCTGATGACTGATGCTGCAAGATGCTGCAAGGTTGCTTTCGTTGATGTGTTGGTGATGCAGCAAGGGTGGCTAATATGACGATGCAAAAGTGGAAGAAGAAGAAGAAGAAGAAGAAGTGACATATGGTGATTATGATGTTGGTGATGGTGATGGTGGCGACGATGATGATGATGATGGCGATGATGATGAAGATTATGAAGATGATGACGAATATGATGATGAGGATGATGAGGATGATGAGGATGATGAGGAGGAACACCATGCATTGTTGCGGCCGGTGTTTCCCGGGATGATGCCAGTACAGCTAACATGATGGCTATTGATGTTGAGGTGAAGACGGCGATGATGAAATGGTCATGCACAATATCTGCTCGGTGGTTGCGTCGGAGAATATGCTATTCATAGACCAGAACGAAAATGGTGTAACGAGGACGCTGATGCTGATGCTGCTGATGAAGACGATGAGGATAATGACACTGACTGTGAAGGTGCTGATGATGTTGATGACAGGTGTGGCACTGATCATGAAGAGGAGGAGAGGACGACAATCCGGTTCAGCAGTCTCACACTTTCAAGCCTGAGCCACAAACAAACAAACAAACAAACAAACAAACAAACAAACACACACACACACACCTGACACTCTGAAGTGGAGGGCAGCAATCTGCACTCATGAATGACCCTGCCCTTCAGCGTTCTGCATGGTAGCCGCTGATTGTCAGAAACTCCGCACGGCTGAAGAGGAATCTGCTTTTCTGTTACAATTATCGCGAACTTCGGCAACCCAAACAAGTGCAGCGGTGATGGTTTTCGCGGATACCGCGGCCTGCAGACTGGCAGAACTGCAGACTGGGAGAACTGCAGACTGGGAGAACTGCGTCAACACATGCATACCTCAAGCAACTCACCAATATACCCTGTCCAGTGTACCCTTTACAACGGATAGGACTGATCGGTATGTCAGCTGGAGACTCCGAAGCACACCAAAAGACGAGGCCAGCCCTCATTGACAACCAAGCTGCATTGCCCGTACAACTTACACGCCTACACTGCAAACCTGAGACCGCTAAAGTTGGGATGTGGGCTTGCGGGTTAAAGGTTTCAAAGTTGAGGACTCCTAATCCCAAAGCTCTGGGCCAAGTTAACATACACTCCTCACATCATCATGCACAATGTCACAAAGTGCTGCTGATGCCTGCCGGTAGCCCAGTCGTGGCTGAGAAAGAAATCCTTGTGGCGCAAAGACTGCATTTGCCACTTTGTTGCGGGGCGGGTGCTTGCTTGGCGGCCAAGGGATTCGTTGATTAGCAGGTCTCATGGTCTTGCCGTCTTACATCTCTGGATGCAGCTTCCGTCCAGTGCACGCTCGACTCTCTCTCTGTGGTTTGACGACACAGGGGTTACAAGGGTTTCAAGACGTCTAAGCCTAGGTGAGAGCTTCATGCCTACAACGAGTTCTACATGGCATAGAAAGAATGATATGACTGTCATGTCGGACTATATCTTCCTCCCAGCTACATCTTTTACCTTAGATGCTGTCAACAATGCAATCACGTACATACCCTCGACATACATTTTAAACCCCAAAACCCTGAACCCATATGTACAAACCAGACACAGAGCTTGGCAAGATGAGCCCCGCATGCTTCGACATCAGGGTATCGGGTTCAGGATTAGGACTTGGGTGGGCTCAGGGTGGAGGGCTTAGGGTTTAGAGTTCAGAGTTTAGGACGTAGAACTCGCAATCTGAAACCGCAAAAAAAACACCTGACAACCTTGACCCGGAATCATGCAAGTGCCAAACCGAAACGCTTCAGCAAGCTGCCTCAATGTCTTGGTCTTGGAAACCAGATGTGCTCACTCGCTAGACCTGAAAATCTGAGCAACCACCGATCCGCAATACCCAAGTGCTGCTGCGAACCGATGCCTTCCTATCGCCAAGCACATCTCGGCCCTTAACTCTGCATCAAGCGACGTAGCTTTCAATCTGATGCCCGAGTGCGTAGCTGCGCTCGTCCACCTGTGTGCACGGTCACCCTCAGCCCCCGAAATCCGGAATGCGGCAACCTATAAGGCTTTGGCTTCGGAGGCGGCGGGCCCGAATATCTTGGAGCGATATCAACACGAATTACACCGCACACCGCAAGGACCGCAAACCATGTACCCTGCGGCCTAAACGCATCAGTTTAGGGTTCTGAATAGTTATGATACCCCTTACTGGCCCCCCCGCCCCAAAAAAAAAAAAAAGAGTAGTGATATACCCCCGAACCCTATTTTGATTATTTGGGTTCTAGTCTATGACTTAGGGTGGCGAGGCATTGAATAGAAGCAACTAAAACAAAATCAGGACTGCCTATTGGTGTTTGAGGGTTTCGGGTTCAGGGTTTGGGGAGACGCTGGCTTGCCACACAAGTTTATGCCTAATCCCACTTCAGAACCGTTTGCAACACGAAGGGGTTCAGGTTCCGTGGGTACAGGTCAACTAAACAGCTGACCCCTCCCTGCCCGAAACCCCAAATGCCCTGTGACTCCTGAGCCTTCCAAACCCTTGCTGAACAAAAACCCAATCCAAAGTCCTAATATGGGGTTCTGGCTGATTAGTCGGAGTATCCTGCGTGATGATTATAGTATACAATACACCAAAACCCTCAGTCCAATTCTGGTTTAGGTAGTTTTAGAGTTTCGTGAGCTTTGCTGCAGCAAAACCAAAACCAGTGTAAAGCTTGCCTGAACCAAGCCCTAAACCCCCGCTTCTTGAGGGTCTTGGGTTCAGGATAACTAGAACATCCAAGACACGTCGAACATGGCTCCCTCCTTTTGGGACCAGTGCCTGGCTCATGTCTTGTGCATGAATTCTTTTGAGCCATGTTGTGGTCCGGAAACAGGCTTTCCAAGCGTTACATATAGGGCTTTGAAACATGACTTGGAGTCTTATCAACCCCAAGTCAAGGGTGTAGGCTGTTCAGGTGCGGGGTGATGTAGTTCGTACCATCGCCAGTCACGGGCCAGGAAGTATGCAAGTATGCCTTGTGTAGGGCAACAATACGTTGCCCTTTTTGCTGCACGAACCCAACATCTTGACCCTCCAAGCTGACCAGATGGCCGAGCAGGATGACCAAGCTGACAAGCTTGCAAGTTAAACAAATGACCGCCAACGTTTGTTCTCAATTCCCGGCACAATGTAGTAGTAGTCGTCGTCGTAGTAGTAGTAGTCGTCGTCGTCGTAGTAGAAGTAGTAGAAGTAATAGTTGCGGGTGTCGTCGCAGTAGTAGTAGTAGTAGTAGCAGCAGCAGTAGTAGTAGTAG